AATTGACGGATAAATTGCATAAATTCCGGCCGGTCTAATTCTTACTATCAATCATGTTTTGAAAAACTGACACAGTGTGTAAACTCCATCCATCTGGTGCTCCTCCAAGCAACAACAATAACAACAAAGCGAAATTTTCAAACGCTGTACGACTGGAATTGCCTCTGCATAGCCTGCTAATTTCCTTGTTTTGTTTACACGGCTCCACCGTTTACCTTTTAGTTTTTAATGAACTCGAGAGAGTCGTGACCATTATTATGTTGGTGGCGTACCACTTTTAATGATGTGCTGTTTTAGCTGTCGCCGTGCTATGGCTCTGCCCTGCGGAAGTCTTCATTAGCACTGTAGCACTCTCCCATGTGCCTGCTTGTACTTATATAAGGAGGTATAAATATAAAGAGGACTGGCAGGGTTAAAGAGTGTAAGAGTGGAGACTCGACGACTTGAGGCTTCCCACTGCGGTGGTCTGATTTATGTATCCGGGAAGAGAAGGTCATCCTGTGGTCAGTCTAGCATTATGAGCTATTTCTCCGGACTTTTTTACTTTGTCTTCCACGTCCTCATGTTTCTCTGATGCTCAATCGGAGCTGTTTTACAATGAGAGTAACAGGAAAAAGCTGTTATGTGAAAATTACTTCAGTATGTTATAAGAGATGCTTTCTTTTTTCTTGCTGTTTTCTATTTTTCTGCCTGCCACTCTCTTTATCCCCCTCTGACTCTCTCCTATGAGTTGTAAAAAGTGATGGGGCATCATGTCCTTCCTGTTCAGATGGAAGTGTTGCGTGCTCCTAGTGTATTGGAAATGGAGCAGTGAATAAATGGAGTGCTTACAGGATGCAGAAGGAGACCGTGTTCTTGATCTAGTCGGGGTTGGTCGATGAACATCGCTTTCATCACAAGGGCTTGATGTGTTTGTGTGCGTGTATGGAGCTGTTTGAAGAGGTATGTATCGAGTTCTGCCTGAATGCAGCAAACTGTCTGAGAGCAAGGCAAATTGCTCTGGAGAACCGAGTCGATGAGTGTGTGAATCGGAGAGAAGCGCCTTCATTATGCTCACATACATGTGCTGCGTGTGGATTCGTGTGTGCGTTGCTACCTTGCTCATCAGTTAATCCATTATCATTTACCGGCCTGTCACAGCCTGCGAAGGTAATAGTGTGAGCACTTGAACTGAATTAATGCTATAGCTCTGCACCGAGCGTCACTCAATCACTTCAACTTAACTTCATTTCTAACCCAGTTTTCATGCACCGCGGCCCACAGAGCCCCCTCTCCACTGATAATTGAGCTCCACCTCGATTGGAGGAGTTGTCGCCATTGTCATCTACTTGGAAAAGTAACTCGCCTCTCCTCCCCTCTCACCTCATTTAGGGACGAGCTTGTTACCGACTGTGCCGTTCTGTGTTTGTGTGTGACAGTGTTTGTGTGTTTGCACGCACTGACTTCAGAGCAGAGCTCAGCGGGAGTCTTTTGTGTGGTGTAAAGCAGGGAAGTCAAACTCATTTTATCTTAAGTGGGCTGGACCAGTGAAACTCTCTTTTCTGTCAGTGAAAAGAAGTTTAACTACACATTTAATCCCTGAGATATCTTTATGTAGCAACAACATATTGTAATTTCAACAATATGTATCAGTTTTGTATCAGTTTAGTCTTTACTGGGCTGATTCAGGCCCCTGGGTCTTATGTTTGATACCCCTGGTATAACAGATAAAATTACGACTAGTAAGATGTCAAATGTTAGTCCAAATGTTGACCTACATTCACTTCCATCCCTGTGCAAAGTAAATATTTTCTTTCACCCTCTGGTCTCATCATTGACTTGAAAGCTGCACCTCACACCTTGCGCTATTTGTCAGATACTCCAGAAGGCAACAATATCATGCAGGGTGCTAAGAGGTCCAGTTAAGGAACTAATTAGTGAGGCCTGGTAGATGCTGCTAAGTTTAGTTACATTTGTTATGAAGGGGTAAAATGGCTATGGCTACCAAAAGCATTGTTGGTACAAGGCTGTAAGCACACTGAAGTGAGGTATATTAACAGGGCAGTCTACGGGGATCTACTCGCTGCAGCCTGCTACAAACAGACGTGTGCTACTATTGGAAACCGCACCGATGAGTGTTGTGAAATTGCAGTAAAATTGTAGGCTGTAAAAACAACAATAAAGAAAAACAAACAGAAAGAAGCAAAAACTAAAATTACAGCTTAGAGGAACTTTTTCGTTCCATTATCAGTTTGCCAAAAAAGATCAACACACACATTTTTGGAGATTATTGCAGATTAAAGTACATTGTGCTAGCATATGGTTAACATTTAAATACCGGACTTTGGCTTGTATTTACATGATCTTGTATTTAATCTGCTTTGCTAAAAGGTTTTGATACTTCTCTGTACTAGCAAGAGAAGTATAAAGTACTAGTGCTTAACTTTAGTTAGCTATATAGTTGAAAAATGGGGAAACTCAGAAGTCGATTTGCATGCTCTCCATGCTACACCTCAGGATTGAATCCATCATATTCAAGTAATCTCACCGTGTTTGCAGTCTATCACAGACTATAGGGCTGTGGGTTGCCCTGAGCCAAGGTCACGTCACACTGACAGCTCATCTCCGTGTCCAAACTGTAATTCTGCCTAACAAACTGACAACAGCGGGCCAAAAGGCAAGCAGGAGATGACTGACGACAACAACACTTCAGTGTACAGTTGCCAACAGAACTTGACCTGGCTTGCACTAATTAGTAAAGACCTCGGGGACTTGGTGCTGACATTAAGCCCTATCTAAAAACTGCTGAGTAAAAGGGCCTGGCAGAGATACTTAACATCTCAACAGTGAGAAAATTCCACTAAGGCTAAAGGATTTAGTTTAAACGCTTAGTGAATTTCTCCCTCCATTTTCATCTCCTTTGTTGAACTGTGCACGTCTTTCATTTGTAAAACTCCAATTTCATAAGTCTCTTCGCTTGGGTGCCAGACCAAAACCCAAGAATTTCAAGATGGAGGGAGTGTGGATTTGCAGATTATGTTACAGGAAAAGAAAGAGCCATAGTATGCACAGTTTTGGAGTGCAGAAAAAGCTTCCAAAGGTTTAACGTGGCTGACATTTTGTGTAAAGAGAATCTGCTTTGGAGATGAAATGTCTGTCAACAAGACTGCCTGCTTCATAGGTTCCAGTTTGCTGAGTGTGCACCCAGTAGGCCCAGAAATATGAGGCGCGTGAAGAATGTTGCTGAGTGTCTGGTTTGTAATCCCCACCCACCCCTTTCTTGCGTAGCCCCTGAGAAAAAACAGTGATTCATGTTTTAGCGCGTGATTACAACTCGGGGGGTAGTCTGCTCCTCACTCTGCTTCATTTTTGAAAGTAACTTCTGGAGCAGCACCTCCAGTAGCGATCTCCCAGTCTGGCAGTTCCTCCCACACGCCCTCTGGTCGAGTGATCTCACGGGGAAGCGTCTCGGGGAAGAAAACCCCGCTTTTTGAGTGTTAACTACTATGTTGCTGTGTTTGAAATCTGGCAGTCAGAGCACTCTGGCTTCCGCTCTCTGCAAATTATGAGTGTGAGATGTGGATTTAGAAGCACAAATGTCAGTTTATGTGTTTATCTTGTACTTCTTGAGCACAAAAATGATACTCTCCTCTATTTTTAGTCTCCTACTAAAAAAGTGAGTCAATAAAAAGAGGGTACATTACCGTAAGATGCCTTTTTATGGGTTTTGACTGCTGATTTTATATGTGGGCCCAAGTCACATTAGAAAAGGAAAGAAATCTTTTTCTACATTTCAAGAATGTACCAAGAGCCTCGTGAACCTGCGCGCATTAATCAAACGGGGTTACTGTGCATCCCAGCTCCTATAATACGGAGCTTTTCAGATCGAACCTTGGAATTACTGGCCTCAGAGCACATGGGAAGAAGCAGCGGGTTATATATCCTTTCATTTGGACCTGAGGGATAGAAGAAGGATTTAAAATTGTATGTGCACTCCTGTTGAGGATAGGAAGGAAGCTGTGTTTCTGTAAAAGCTGATTTTAAAGCTTCAGTTAGCTTGTGATCTGGGCTGCAGAAGTCTGTTAAAGCCTGCGTGGGTAAAAGCTGTTTGCGCCCCCTGTATTAAAACACTGTCGCATTAGTTCTAGCTTTGTTTAGATTAGATGAGGTGGAGTGCTTCCTTTGCAGAATATAGCTGGTTCTTCAAAACTGGAAAGAAGTGTTTCGGTCAAGTCATCAAAATCTGTTGGGTGTGTTCCCTCTCTATGTGACCTGCCCCCTCCAGTAAGATGAGCAGATCAGTGTGTCTATTCACCCGCTGAATCAGAAAAGTGTCATTTTGGTCCCCTGTAAGTCATTTGTTAGTGCGAAATAAGAAAAACCTTGGATGAATACATTTGATTTGATGCGATCCGACACCTCGGCCTCTCCCTGTGCCTGCTCTGTCTAATAGCTGATAATATAATTACATTTCCATCAGAGGGAGGCCTAATGATCGACTGTGCTGGAATGTCTTATGTGCTAGCGAGATAAACCTCCCTCTCAAATACCCTGGGTTTGGTGAGGGCTGTCGGATCAATAACCTCTCCTTCTTCTGTTCTCCTCATTTATAATTCTGAAGTGTTTTCAATGGTAATGCTTTAGTATTGCTAAGTGGAAATTTACTAGGCGCTGCTCCAGCTTTTCTTCATAAAGGAGTTGTAGGCTGTTTAAAACCACATAGACACAGTGGGTTTCAGCTCCTAACACGGTTTTGCATAGTTTTGTCCTCAGGAACATTTTCGAAAGTTTGCAGAAAGAACTGCGGTCCAAATTTTGTGTCATTTTGTGTCAAGGTTGTGTGCTCTCACCAGAGGTGTTGTGCATTATGGCAAACCCAAGCGTCTTTTCCTGTTTTGCTGCGCCAAAGTACATTTCTTACGGACAGAGTTAGACCTCAGCACCTTCACACAGCCTAACTAGCCTATCTTTCTGGCTACCGATTCTAACCAGTGTGTTTGTTTCTCTGTATTTCCCTGCAGGCTTTGAGCTGCTGTATCAGCCAGAGGTGGTGAGGCTCTACCTCTCTCTGCTGACGGAGAGCCAGAACTATAACACCCTAGAGGCAGCTGCTGGGGCTCTGCAAAACCTCAGCGCTGGACAGTGGACTGTGAGTACTGGGTTGGGGTGTTACCGTATCCCGTTGGCTTTTTTTCTTCCTCATTTATATTTTTACTGCTTCTGTCCTCATCTTTAACCTTGTACATGTCCTGCAATGGTAGCAAAAAGACCAAGTCTGCTCTCCCTCCCTGGGAGACAAACACTGTTCTTTTGTTGATGCTGGTGGTGTATAACGGCTGTGCCATGGCTGCAGGTTTCTTGTAATAATAAGATGGATCTGTTACTCCCCACTTGTCATACACAATGTCAGGCTATGACTGCTGACAGTTGAAGTGAAGAACACTGATTAACTCTTCATCATGGCGCCTGTTAGTAGGTGGGATATATCAGGGGGAAAGTGAACATTTTATCCAGTTTTGTTTTATAAAGTTTGACAAGGGTTAAATTATGATGGCTAGACGACTCGATCAGAGCATCTCCATAACTGCAGCACTTGTCGGGTGTTCAAGGAAGGAACAGTGGGGAACCAGCAACAGGGTCACGGGCAGCCATGGGAGCCTCCACCTCACAGCTTACAGGACTTCAATGATCTGTTGCTAACATCTTGGTGCCGGACACTCTCCAAGAGTTTAGTTGAGTCCATATCTCGATGGGTCACGGCTGTTTTGGCAGCAAAAGGAGAACCAACAGGATATTAGTCATACTGTTATGCCTGAATGGTGTGTATGGATTCTTGTGAAGTCCTTGGTGTCACGTTTAAATACACAGAGTGCCATTTTTCAACAGAGGGCAACTTTGAACCCTAACCACAACACAAGCAAAGTAGTTGACACGCTGGGATGAGAATGTGTTGACTGCCTTCTGAGGGCCAAAGTATGTGTGTGGAAACTAAAGCTCGCTCTAGGTAGCTCATGCACAATGTGTTGCTGGCTGGTTGCACTTGGATCAAGAAAGGTGAAAACAGCAATGTTAATGCTAATGCTATAAATAGTGTTGTTAGTATATGGCTGTTTCTGTGATGGAGATTGAAGCTAAATTAAGTGTAGATACATTTAGAATGGGATCCAACAATTTAAGTAGCTCTAAATCAACATGACAGCAGCACAAGACAGGGTGGGTAATGATAACCATCAAGGTGGAATAATATTAGATAAGTGTTGTATCTGTTATCCAGCACTCTCATCTCTCGTAGGTTTTTGCTTCTGATGATGGATTAGATGAGAAGCTGTGCAGTCAGGTCTACACATTTATTCCAGTTAGAGCATCTGTGGAGCTGCTGTCTGGCTTGCAGGCAAGTAGTGAATTATCAACAGGGATGGCTGGTAGTCAGCTGCCAGTTTACGCGCAGCACCTCGGGCAAGAGCGGTCACTTATGTTTTCCAGCAGATGGGCTGTATTCAGCCCACGGCAGCATTATCGCAAAAGCTCTTCTCTTAACACCCAAGTGTCAGACTGTAGATACATCTTTCAGTCCTCAGATTTCATCAGCAGCAAAAAGCCCTCAGAGACGTGAGGAAAATCACCTGAAATCTTGATTGATCCTTTTTTTCCTCGTTCGTTAGATCAGATTCAGCTCTGAGTTTCTCATTGAATGTTTTAATAATTCAGATGTAGTGTTTTTAGCTAAGGTGAGTATTTGGAGGTGGAAAAACTCTTTCCTGTTAGATGTTTTCCCTAGTAAGCATGATCAGAACGCCTGAGCAGGCTAACAGTAACCTGTGGAGCTGCTAACACACCAGACTGTCACATCTGGGAGCTGGACAAAGAGTGTCCTGCTCTCTGAGGATATCAGAGCTTCTGCTTGAAATCCTCCTCATTCTTTGCTTCTGCTTAGTACCACAGGGGAGATTTCCCTTATTTCCAAGGCTTACTACTGCCACCTGGTGGCTCAGCTTTGACTGTCCTCTGCTTAATTACATCTCTTGGGTTATCAGCACTCCGAAGAAGAAACCCTTTTATGTCAAGCTTAGTGTTTCATGTTACAAAAAAATGAGAAGTAAAATCTACTGATGTTTAAATTAAGACAAATTATATCACATGTCCATTCAGAGCCCCACTGTGTGATGTTGTGAATTACTTATGCCTAAGGAGCAGTGATGAGCTGCCTTGTAGTTACAGAACGACTTTCTGAGTGTGCATGGCCATGCACGGGTGGAGAATATTGCAGAAGTGTCTTCGCCCTCTGTGCTGGTGTCACAGAGATCCACTAGGCTCCTCAGTGGGACTTACCTCGGGGCCTCAAATGAAAGGATGTGCACTGATATTAGGGCTGATTCAAGTACTTATATAAAATTCTAAAGAATATAAAAAGCACTCACAGCATGCCCTTCTTTTGCCCTTCAGTGGTCCAGCTACATCCGAGCCACAGTGCGGAAGGAGAAAGGTCTTCCCATCCTGGTGGAGCTGCTGCGCTCTGACTCTGACAAGGTGGTCCGAGCTGTGGCCATCGCTCTGCGCAACCTGTCCATTGACCGCCGCAACAAGGATCTAATCGGTACAAACAATTAGCAAAGCCACACAGTTGTTGTTGTTGTTATGTTATTTTGGATGGCTACTGCAGTAATACCAATGAAGGTTTGCTATTATTCTGTGAACGATTTGAACCACATTGTTTAAAAGGCTAACAAGTCTTTTCATAAAATAATTCTAACATGCATGTTCTGACCACTAGTTGGTGGGAATGCAGTTATGATTCTATACCTCCAATTTTTCCCTTTGTTGATATAGTTTCCTTATGATAAGCCTTCAAAGTCCATCCATTGCATCTCATCGTATACGCCGTTCATCTTGCTACTTTAAGTTGATGGGAAAGCATTTTTACATGAAAGGATTGTAGACTTTGTTTCATAAGTCTGGAATCACATTAGAAAGGGTGTCACTTTATTTACGGGCACATAGAAAATGTGAAGCTGCTGCGCTTGAGAGTTTGTGTATTTTCATTACTCAGATTCCTACATGTCAGTGTTACAAGTGGACAGTAGAGTGTAGGGATGGGTATCGTTTAGGTTTTATCCGATACCGGTGCCAAATCGGTACTTTTGAAACGGTGCCGGTGCTCAAACGGTGCTCAAACCGGTGCTTAAAGAATGGAGAACACAAAATTGGTCCAAAAACCTCTCATGTTCAGCTGGTTTTTTGTAAAAAGATAACAATGTTAGCCTTTTCTGCAGCTATGGGGCATATATGGTATCATTCGTGGCTGGAAGCAGTGCTTAATCAATGGAAAAAACACAAACTTTGTCCAAAACCTCTCATGTTTAGCTGTTTTCCTCTTTTTCTTTGGTCATTTTAGCCTTTTTGGCCAGGGTGAAGGGAGTATCTGCCATCAAACAAGAAGACAGCTGCATGTAGCTATGATGATGTTTGCTAGTTCACCTTACATGCATTAATGTAATACGTGGTTAGCCTACTCAACGTAAATTACACGCGAACAACATTAAGCTACTCACGCAGAGAAGAACGGCTGCTGCTGCCATCATCATCCTCATCATTTCTGCTACACTGGCAGGGCTAGGGCCAGGACTCTACTCTTCGGGTTTTTGGGGATATTGCTAACTCCGGGTCCGATAACAGGCAACCCACGCACAGTAGATGTGTGAGGTCTCGCAGCAAGCTATCATACGGTGCATTTCTGGGCTTTTAAAAAAAAACGCTATGCGTCGCCAGGTGTTACCTCCTTTGACAGTATCACAGTATCAGCTTAAAGCACTTGTTGTTGCTGAGTTTGCATATTTTGCTGTGAAGTACAGCCAGACTTTTGACCGCTTCGCCTTGGGCATTTTTAATCTGTAGCTCTGCTCTAAAAGAACGCACGTACCTGGACCCGCCTACTGTCCTCGGAAACGTAAAATTATTGGCTAGAATCTAAAGTGTATCACAGCTCAGGAAAAAAAGCCGGTACCCATCCCTACTGGAGTGTCATTAAAGAAGAACTGACATTTTAAAAAAAATGTTAAAAACGAATAACACAAATGTTATTAAATGCAAGCTTTTGGACAAACTGTTCTATTCATGCAATTTTACGAGGCTCACAAGACTCAGTAGTACCTGACTTGCTAAGATGTAACATAATTTATTACTCATTTTGAAGATGTTAATTACCTCAGCCAAGGAGGTTGTGTTTTTGCATGCGTGTCATACATCTGACTATAAGCACAACAGCTCACAAACTTTTTTTAATGAATTCTGATAAAACTTTGTAACACTGTAGAGTGGGGTCATATTAATCCATTAAAATTAGCTTTACATCCACCAAAGTCTCCGAGGTCAGCTTAATGATTTATTTTGGGAAATTTGACACAAAGCCTTAAAATTTAGAAACTTCCTAAAAAGGAAATACTGCCAGGAAGGGAGCTGCTGGAGGTTTGTGCTCTCAGAGTGCTTTGTGTTTGACTCTTATTCTCCCTGTCACTGTCACATGGTTAACCTTAAACACTAATTCACCATATAGGAAGTTATGCCATGCGGGACTTGGTGAGCAACCTGCCCAGCGGTCAGCAGCGACCAGCCAAGAACCTGGAGGAGGACACTGTGGTGGCCATCCTCAATACCATTCACGAGATCGTCACCGACAGCTCTGAAAACGCACGCTCCCTCATCCAGGCCCAGGCCATCGAGAAATTGGTCGCCATCAATAGGACCAGGTAAGATTTTTTAAGTACAGTCGGACAAATATTGCATTGACGTTGCTCTATGACTGCGTTCCCCTTTTCTTCACTGAGTCAAACTGAAGCAGCATGCTGTTATCCATATAAGCTCTGCACGAGGTGTGGCCTTACTACTGAGACATAATTATAGTATGACCTTGTATGCAATTTCATCATGAGCCTTCATATTAGTATTCATGGAGGATGAATAATGTAACGCGTCTTGTGACGGCGCGAGCCACTGCCCACCTCACATTAATAAACAGGCTTTCAGAAGTTGAGGCCGTTCTTACAGTGGGTGTCTCAGTTGTACTCGGCAACTAGTAGCGAAAATTAAGATATTCAGGCTAATATTTTCAAGAGGTGTCTTATATAACCACATTGTTACTCACTGCAAATAAAGGCGTGTTAGAGCCGCACCACATTTTAAATGCAGTTTTCAAAGGCCCGTCCTTGTGCGGTGATGTATTGATCATCCAGAGTCACTTTAACAAGCATGAATATACATAGTTTATTCACAAACCAAATAGCTAGTGTTTCCTCTCAGCCTCATGAGATTAGCTTTCTTTGAAGTGAGCCCCCTCCCTCGCACCCACATATAATTAATACTGGTGGCTCAGAGGTAGCTAATGAAAGGCAATGTGTATTCATCTGGCTGTGAATTAAAAACTAGACCCTGAAACTGCCCGGAGAACTCAAAAGTCTTTGAATGAAGAGATTGATTGCAGCGGTGCCTCGCCAGCATGCCCAGCTGTTACAGTTTTGTGATTACGTGAGGTTACTGACGTTAATTGATCTAGTTACTTCTTACTAATTTCCTCCTTTTTGGATGGGGGGGGCCTCTTCAGCCAATCAGCACGTGAAACGAAGGCAGCGTCCATGTGCTGCAGACAGTGTGGAGTTATAAGGAGCTGAGGAACGCGTTGGCCAAGGACGGGTGGAACAAAAGCCACTTCCAGGTATGGAACCAAAGTCGTCCTTTACAAATAATGTCAATCCAGAGTGTTGTTATTGTTCGCTCAGAAGGTTGAAAGAATGTTTTGTAAGCAGCTTCATTCAAATAGTTTGAGAGTGGCTCGGTTTTCTGTTCCTGACATTGTAAAATAATTTCCAATAAATCTCCACCGACTAAAATTTGAATCAAGCTGTTACCAATATCATGTTTACATCATCGAGACAACATAATTAATTTCTGATACTTATCTCGTAAAATGTTATGAATTGTTATGCGTTCAGTTCGTACCCCACATTAGGTGAGAAAGTTCAATCTTTCCATACTGGGAACTGTTTGATCTGTATTATGACGTTACGATGTGCTTCCTGCTCCCTCTCCTCTCAGCTCACTGTGACGGCCACTCCTAAAGCAACCAAGAACGGCAAGCCGGGCTACGATGACACCACTCTGCCGCTGATGGAGAAGAACCAAGGTCAGTCAGCACGTGTGGTAGAGTGTATGCTGCTG